AGACTCCACTTTCTCGCGTAGTTACCTGAGTATAACTTATTATTTATAAGTTCTGTACTATTTTTCGTGTTATTTTTCAAGTTCAAAGGTTACAGGTGAAAGTATCGTAGTATGCACAAAAGAGCAACTCGCACCGGTTAAACGGTTGATTCAGCATAAAGCTGTTTTTGCTCGTCGATGTGCAGTCAAACGACGTCGGATTAAGCTGATCGTTGAGGTAAATGTTAGCGATCTTGGCATTCGTTTTTTTTTTCGCTAAAATTACCTAAAGCTCGGGTTATATGATGTAATAATAAATGCTTCGTATCTTATTTTACTTCAACCTGTCCTAAATTAACCCATCTTTCATTACTTAATTTTATCATTATTTTTATCATTACTACTATTATTAATATCGCTATTATTATTACTCTTTTTATTATTTTAAAGTTCTAAGATATGTCTTCTTGACTGCGTCTGTGAGGAGGGAAAATGAGTGAAATTGCCTCCAGTGTTGCGCCAACCGCCAAACAACACATTGATTGCAGGCAATATGCAGTGCACTTTGTAGCGCACAAGACGAACTGGAAAATCTGCTCAGAATGTTGTTTTTCGGATGCGACACGCCGCTCGAAGATTTGCTCAATAAGCTCATTGCTGCAAAATTAATCTCTTCTCAAAAAGGTTTTTTTTTTGCAAATTTTTAAAATTTTCAGGGCAGTCATTCGATTTGATCATATATAGCCGCAATTCATACAGTGATTTTCCAACTAAACAGCTGGATGGGTGGTGGTTTGCTTCTCTTTTTGCTCGCTCCCCCTTCTTCTTCCTCACCCCTCCGCCCTGCCTTCCTCCTTTCCCTCCCTCCTCCCCCCCTCCTCCACCTCAGAACTCTGGGCACCTTAATGACAAAGGCTATAACCGTTCGTGGTGTTTAAGGTTGTTCGGCTGGTGAGTTACGTGGAACTCAACTGGGACAAGCGGTATTTGCATCTTCATTACCAGCCGATATCGCTCTGCAAGTTTATGCTGATCTGGAAAAAGCAATGCACTCACTGGCTTTGGACACTGAACTTCATTT